AATGGAGAAAAATACCTTTTTTTACCCTTTGTTTGGGAAAAATGTCTTCCTCTGTGTAAAAATCAACACCCCTGGGGATTCTACTTAAGCTTCAAAAGCAATTACCCGCTGATGTGATGGGAGGGGGCAAAGGGGCTTCCAGGGGCTGTTCGAGTCCCATTCCCTGATGTGGGGGCTGGTTGCCCGGCTGTGTTCAATCTGGGGGAGTGTATTGAGCCATCTGTACACTTAGAATGTGTGCACTTTTCTCTCTGTATGCTATGCTTTAGTAAAATCTGCATCAGACAGAGAGCTTCAGGACTGAGTAAAATAGTCCGAAATAAATAGAATATGCACATTTAGATTGCCACTATATAGGGGCTTATGGGCAGCTTTTCTGCTGTCCACTTGGGCATGGGTTTATGCGTACAGGATGTGAGACAGAGGGATACCAGTGGCCCCTCTAAAACACATGGCATGGCAGTACTGGACCCTGTGGGTTGACTTCAGGGACTGTCCAAGCAGCTGGACACCCAGGAGCTCCTGGGCGTTTCCTGCTGGCCCAGCATGCAATGGCTCCCGTCCCAAAGGAGTCTGGTCCTGTTGGGGGGACTGAGTGGGAAAGAGATGCCTACCAGGTGGTGGGGCCCGGGACGGTGGCTGTCACTCAGGATTCACTTCATTAACTCTATAAACATTTTTTTAAGTGACCCCTACATGCCCTGCCCTGTTCTATACACAGGACACAGTGATTCAGAAGACAGTTCTGGTCACATTGTCTCAGACCAGCGGCGTCTGGGGCAATGGAAGAGCTGGGAGGCAAGATGAGCCCTGGGCTGGGGGCAGCTGTCAGACAGCTGGGCTCGTGTCGGGCGTTCAGTTTGGGGCTGGCTGGCGTCGCTGTAATGAGGAACAGGCTTGCCCTGATGTCCGCTTTATTCTCACCGTCACTGAACTTCAGGACCCTCGGGATCACTGGGAGCCAGGATGTCTGGACAGGCTCTTTCTGAATCGCTAACGTTCTAAAAGTAACTCATCCCGGAGAGATAACTAAGGAAGCTCCTTCGTTTTCGTTTGATAGTGACTGTTCACGAACGCCTCTATCTGCAAGGTTTTAAACCTCCGTTCATTTACACCTTTGTTCACTATCCTTTGTTGTGTGTCCCCACGGGGCAGGGCACTAGCCAGGGCCAGAGGTTTGGAGATGGAAGGTGACATGACCAGAGAGGGCAGGTGCATGGTAGGCAGTTACAGCCCCACCAGGTGGGTGCTGGGGGGATGTGTGGCCTCCTTAGGATTTTCTGAACACAGCACAACTCCCCTGGAAACAGGATTAGATCGTGGAGAAGTCCCTTCCAGTTGGCTTCATTTGGATGGCATCAGCGGGGTATATGGAGAAAGCTCTCACTGGTTCTGTTTTTGCTTCCTGGTACTCCTGAGAAGGCACAAGGCCCGTCCGCCAGCTCTGAGCTGCCCAGAAGCCTAAATCGTGTAGTGGGGCACAGGACCCATTTGCTATTTTGTGATATGTCTACAGCTCTGCTTGCAAAACACAGTGTGCTAATTTGTAGAGCAGAATTCTAGAAAGTGAATCCCGTTTCTCCCCAACTGCCCTTCAACAGCAAAGATGGAACCAGGCGCAGTGGTCCTTGGGCTACCCTATGGCCGGGGGGTCTGCTCCTTTGCCTGGGTGCCTCTCTCCTTAGCTTAGACATGGTTCCCCCAAGCCCGGGGGGGGGGTACCCCGCTCTATCCCCACTCTATCCACCCTGCCAACAACGGCATTTCCTTCCTTGACCACTGGGCTCCAATTGTGTTTCAGCCAGAACCAAGTATCACATTTTACGTTTGTCCTCTTTCCAAGAAGACCCCCTTCAAAATCCCCTAGATGTAAAGTGTCAGGGTCTGTGAGACAAACTGCCCCCAGGCCGGCCCTGGTTCTGTGGCTGGAACCCTGGGCGTCCATCTGCTCCTCCCCCGGGGGCCATCCTCCTGCCCATCAGCCTGTTTGTCCCAGCACTTCTGCTGCCAGGATGGGCCCTGCTCTCCTCCCTCCGCCCCTGTCTTCTCACTAAGCTGGCAGCTAACAGAGCTCTGCCACTGGGACCAAGTCTGAGCAGAGTTCTCTTCCCTGTGATGGATGGGCCCGGACACTGTCATCTCTCTTTGTCTCTCTGTCTATCTCTCCATCTCTCCATCTCTTGTCTCTTCTCTGGTCTGGGTTTTGATCTGGCTTCCAGTCTGGCTGTTTTAAGGATGAGCCGCCCTCGCTCTGCATGGAGCTGTTGGGCATTCAACGGCCCTGCCTCTTGGGTCCTTTTCATGTTTGTGGTCCTCTGAGCGCTCGCTGTCCCAACCAGAAAAGCAGTGTGGGACAAGCACCCCCGTAAACAAACACCCAGAGCTCACGAAGCAGGCGGCTTACCCAGTAGGGCAAGCACTGGGCTGCACAGAGCTTATTGGCGGGAAAGGAGGGGGAGGTGGGTCCGTCCGCATTTCATATTTCAATAAGGGAACCAAACTCCGGGCTTTGCAGTGAAGGACGATCTCATTACATAAACAGAGTGATTTGCACGTGTTGGACACTCACAAACCCGGCTCTAACTGGACGGCCCCCAGCTGGTGTTCCCAATCCTCCCCTGGAGCTGAGTGTGCACTGCCTCCCCGGGCCAGCCTCCGTGGTCCAGGAGTAGGACAGATTGATGCCTTCTTGACTTCTGCTCCCAGTGTCACTTTTAAGATTCTCCAATTCCGAGTGCGTGTTTGTCGTTTTTAAAGAAAAAAAGGTTTCTGATGTTAGAGAAATGCAGCCCTGAGTTGGTGGACCCCACTTGGGTCCCACAGGTGAAGACCCTTAGCTGCCCAGCAGCATGTCACAGGTACCCCCATCCTTCCGTGTCACCCTGGGAGCCAACGTCCCTCTCTGAGATGTGCGTTGTCAGCCTCGTGAGCCAGTGTCACTCACTGGCCTCAACGTTGTATCAGTTTATTGCCAGAGTTCACGGTTGGACCCACAGTTCCAGCCTGGTGGCTCTAAATGACAAGCACACTGTCTGTACCCCTCACTCTGTCTGCCTTTTCCCTTGGAAAGGCCAGATGCTCCCGCAGCTCCCACACGCAGGTCTGTCCCTGGCGTCCTGGCCGTGGGCATCGCAGCCTGTGTGAGCTTCCCACAGCCAGTATTACTACGTGGTGCCCAGTGTGGACCCCAACACCAAGGGCCGGCCCCCTGTGCTATCAGAGTGAGAGCAGCACCCATGGGCTCTGCCTGGGGGGATAGGGCCTCTCGGAACCCAGAGACACAAGGTTGCCCTCAGGGCTTCTTATGCCCCTCTGCAGACTGCCCTTGGCCTCCAAATGGCCGGTGGTCATCTCAGTGACCTGTCTGCCTCCTCAGGCAGCTCCTGGTTTATGGGGGCCCAGCTGGGGATTAGCTTCAAACTTGAGAGGGAAGAGCTTAGAGGAGGATTTGCTCGGGAGTAACCCTGATCCCGATCTGAGCTGATGAGAGCCTGGTGATAGCAGACGCCCGGCGGTTAGCGCTCCCTCAGTGATGTCATGCCGGTCCCCTGTGGCTCAGGTCCCCAAAGTGCCTGGCCCCGCATCGCAGAGCTCCATCCTGATGAGGAGCCTGACCACCCGGAGCTTGAAGCGTCTCTGCTGTCCCCCAGCCCTTCTATCCACCGAGGGGCAATCATGGGGCTTTGGGGGCCCTGTCCCCTCCCCCACACTGGTTTCCTCCAGCTGTCAGTGCCCGAGTTTGCTGACCTGTCATCCTCGACATCCCAGTGGTAGGAATCTGACTCATTTGCGGTACTGGCTCTCCTCTAGACTGGCCCCCTCCCACCGGGATGACTCCCCAGCCCTCCCCAGGCGCTGTCACTCTCCGTAATGAGTCAGATCACAGGGCCTCTGGCTTCCTGCCTTTTGCTTCTGCTTCACTCTGCCTGATTAAACAAGGCCCCGGGGACTCCGCATCCAAATCCAGGTGGCACCTGGTGACAGGTTGGTGTTCAAGTGTCCCATCTGTGAAAGACGAGCAGACTCCCCAGACCCTGGGGGGCTTGCATCAACATACAGGTCTGGGGGTCCAGGGAGCATCCAGCTAGTGACTGACCAGAGGGCCCAGGACAAGGGGCTCACACGCACCGTTTCTCAGCAGGGCCCTTAACCCTGGTGTGTGGAGCTAAAAGACCGCCTTTGTACGACTGACTATTTCAGGGTACGTTCTGCAGCCTTCTCAGGAACTGAGAGCTGTTTCTGAGTTAGAAGTCTTTATCTATGAATCCGGTAGCTTCTATTTTATTCTTTATAGCAGATTTGAACAGTCTACTTGAAAAAAAGATTAATGTGGCTCTGTTTGGGAGGTGTAGTTTTTTCCCATTCGCAGAGCCCTGGGATGGAGACTTGCCAGAAATTTCAAAGCAATTGGATGTGGCTGCAAAATGATAAACTTTGAATTATTCATTCATTAATATATTAATTATTTAATTGTAAAGTAAGGATTTATGAATACCTTCTATATAAATAATTTATGTTTATAGAAATATGTACGTTATAAGTAATTCGTAAATCAACTAATACATTAATCATTTAATTAATAAAGACATTTGCTTCCCATCGTGGGGGCAGAAGCAGCGTGGCTGGGGGTGCACTGGGTTAGGATCCGTTCACACTGGCTGTGGGGGCCTGGACACCTGCTTCCTCATCCAAAATGAGAATGGCAGGTTACTCGTACCCTATATGGCGTATGGGAAGTACTTTGTATAAAGCATTATGCACATACTGGTCATCGTCATCAATAAAACCCGCGAAATGCAACTGACGAAGCAGACAAAGGTGTAAAAGAGACACAAGGCCCATTTTCTTGCCGAGAGCTTGGCATTTCATACTATGGTGTGAAGGTCTTGCGTTTGGCTTGAGTTCTGTAGTCAGGCGTACTGTGTGTTTGCTTATACAGCCTCGAGGGGAAAACCAAATCAATCCTGTGATGGAAAATGAATGTGATCTGCTTTCTGCAGGATACAAGACTCTTCTGAAAGGAATTTCTGGGAAGTTCAACAGTGGGGAGCTGGTGGCCATCATGGGTCCTTCCGGGGCTGGGAAGTCCACGCTCATGAACATTCTGGCCGGATACAGGTGAGCAGCCCCTGCTGAGGAGAGCGAGGTCCTCTCCCAGTTGTGGGCCTAGGGGAACAAGGTGACCGGTGAAGGCTGTTCAGCCATCCTGTCACATCTTCAGGTTCTGTGCAGGCTCCCGTGAAGCCTGAGGGGTTAGCAGTAACAGGCTTTGGAATCTGTTAAGAAACAGCCCAAGGAAGAGAATGGCCTTGAAGGCGGCAAAAGGCAGCACCTGCTTGCTGCCACGTGACCTGGAGAATGGACACAAGCGAGCGAGGGCACGGGGCAGAACGGCCAGCAGCCTGCTGAGTGAGCTCAGCCTGGCCAGGCCTTCCAGACAGGAAGAAGTGGGAGGGTCAGGGGAGGGGAGGGGGCCCGCAGGAGACCTCGAGACAAGCATGACTGGAGGTCAAAAGTCAGGGGAACATTGTCAGAGAAGGACGAGGACCGTCCTCTGGGCCCAGAGCCCATGGGGCTCTTGCTCGTGGCGTTGGTTGTTTCCAGGTTTGGAAACCATGATCCCTGATGTCCTGCCCAGTGTCATCCCTGTGTGAATGCTGTGAAAACTGAACCCTTGCAAGTGTTCAAAAATGCTCCCCTACAGCCAATTCTTTTCAGTTCTCATGGGCCCATTTGCTAACTTTAGCAAATAATAATAACAATTTAATTTACTGGGAAAAAAGAGCAAGTACCACCGCTTTCCTTGGGACTTCTGAATTACTTCTTAACACTAGAAATTAAAATTTTAAAAAACCCTCATGAGAAATTCCTGCCTGTTGCATTCATACCCGAAGGTTAAGCCAAACTGCCGACGCCCAGCATCACGGAAGGGGTGGAGGAGAGGGGAGCGGTTCCTGTGGGGCAGCTCATCCCACACCCTAGCTCCTGGCCGTCCTGAACGGTGCCTGGGCCTCCTGGAGTGGTGGAGGGCAGCCTAGAGTTGGTGGGCACCAAGCCTGGCTCCTGGGGAAGCCAGCTGACCCCAGCCCATTTCCTGGGGGAAAGAAGGGCCCACCACAGGCCCACGGTCACAGAGACGGGCTGATGAAGTCGGAAACCAGACGTAACCTCACTGGTCTCCGTAGACCCTCCATGTTTCTGTTTCCATGGCATCTAGGAGGCAGGGCTGGAAACATGGGTCCTTATTGCGATGCTCATGGCTCCTACCGCCTCCCTGGGCTGAGCTGATGCACCCAGAAGAGCATCGGGCACTAGAGATGCACAGTGGGTCTGGAGTGAGGGAAGTGGCTGGCAGGGCCGTGCACCTTCTGTTCCCACAGTGCACGCGGGACACCCCAACCTGCCCACTGTGGTCAGAGAGAACAACTTCCTCGGTGGAGAAGGACCATGCGCTTGGCTAAGGGGGATCCAGGGCCCAGGCCCCCTGCTCTCTGAGCCACCTGAGCCCAGGGACCCTGCTGTGTTCCCTCCTAGTCGCATCCTCAGGAACTGGTTCTGCAGTGGCGGCCATACCACGACTACAGAGTGTTGGCCTTTGGGGTTGTGGCTGTAGCCTCAGCTACCCACAGGATTGCTCAGAAGCCAATCTTACAAATGGCCAAAAAGTCAGGGACGTATATCCGACCTCGTGGCTGTGGGTAGGAGCGTCCATGCTATCTTTGTGCGTTTAGGGGCACTTGTTACAAATACGCTATCGGAGGCAGCTCGCCCCACCTGCCCCTTTCCACGCTGGGCCTTTTCTCCGTCAATTCCTCCCTGCCAGTGCTGCTGTTCTTCCTGGCCTCCCGTCCCTTCCTGCCCCTCGGTGTCTCTGTGGCAGGTGGTCCAACCGGGAAGATGCTAGGGGGGCCACCTCTCTCTCACTCTCCTCCCAGGCCCGGGAGGAGGAGGAGGAGCAGAGGAGTCGGGCTAACAGTATCCTCCCCTTGGCCTTCCAGGGAGACCGGCATGAAGGGGGCGGTTCTCATCAACGGCCTGCCCCGGGACCTGCGCTGCTTCCGGAAGGTGTCCTGCTACATCATGCAGGACGACATGCTGCTGCCCCACCTCACCGTGCAGGAGGCCATGATGGTGAGCCACCCACCAGCCTGTGCTCTGGCACCTGGCTGCCCCTCTCTCCTCCGCATTAGATGGAGCAGCCCCCAGTGGGCCGGGGCTCTGCCAGGCCTTGCACAGAGTCAGCACCACCCCTCCCTCGAGCGGAGTTCAGGCACCAGACATGCTGTTTGGACAGCTTCATTGAAAAACCCCCAAGATCCTGCGTTCTCATAGACCCTGGATGACAAAATCGAGGTCAAGTTTCTGGGAAGGTTATTGACCCAACGGATGTGGGTGACCACTTCCAGGGTGACCACAATCCTACTGCCTGTAGGCTGAGGGTCCTTCCTTCTCATCAGCTGTGCTTGAGTCATTCTGTGGCTTTGGGCCCAAGTTCCAGCCAACCCGGTGTCGGGGTTGGGGCCCCGAGGGTCTCCTCCTCTGACTCACCTGCCTGCTGAGTGGGTGAGTGAAACCAGCATTCTCTGGACACCCTCCTGGGTCCCAGGCCCTGCAGGCATGTAGCCCAACACAGTCATCAAACATGTCATCTTGCAAGAGCTCATGAGAATGAGTCCCTCCGAGAGTTGAGCAGTTAGCCCAGGATGTCCTGCTCGAAGGGGTCGGGAACAGCCTGGCCTGGACAGACCAGACCCAGCCAAGTGTCGTGACATTGGACTTCCAGGGCCGTTATTTTAACATAATGCTGCCAAGGACCACACTGACCCAAGTGTGGGCAGTGGGAGGTGCTAGAATGCCCCCCATCAAGAGGAGATGGGAAGATCCATTGGCAGCCCGTTGCTCATCACTGGGCTGCCTGTTTTTTTCTTTCTCCTTGTCCACTGCAGAAGACAGGGCCTAGCCTCCGGGCCTCCCCTGGTGCACTGGGGGACGTTCTCAGCCTGTCTGCCTGGAGCCCTGGCCGGTAGATGGGCGTTTGCCTTGGTTTTTCCACCAGGATAGATCTTGCCCCGCACCCCTCACTTGCGGGGGGCAGAGCTTCCTGCCTGGGGTGTCGGAGAGTGGGGCTGCCCAGCATGTCATCCCGGAGGCAATTCCAAGGGAATCTTAACTGGGCCAAGAGAAGCAGGTTAAGGTGTAGGGTATGAGATCTGCTCCCTAACCTGTGGGGAAGCAGAAAGAGCGAGCCCTGAGGGGTTGTCCTCGTTCTTCGTCCCTGGCCCTGCGTGCTCTGTAAGTAACAGGAGACCTCTCCACTGGGCTCGGCTACCACACCCCGCAGGCACACGCGCCGGGTGGTCCTAATTGTTTATCCTGTGTCTAAATGAGCATTCTGATGGGGGCCCAGGGAACTTAGAGGAGTGTGTAAGTAGGATGGTAAATTTAGTAAATACAAGCTTTCAGGTACCCTGTGGATTCCTGAATTGCTGCTTCACCTCTGTCCTGGGTGACCAGAGTTTAGCTTCTCAGCAAGTTGTTGAATTAAGCCCGTGGTCACCTGTTTGAGAAACTTTCCTTTGATGTCCAGCTCAATCACTGCTTTCTGTTGCAGACAAGATTAGTGACTCCTATTGTCACCTCTGTCCTCCCCCTACCCTGTCACCAGGCTCTGCTGTGAAATCCATTGATTTTCAGAACTAAATTAGATTTTGATTTTGAGGATTTCGCAATAGCTCTAAAAAATACTTTCAACTTGAGGCAATGACGCCTTTTGACTACTCACGGTCCTGCCGCCCACATAGGGGTGAAACTGGCTGCCAGCTGTCGGTCGTGCGTTTCCGTATGCTGCTTCTGACCTCACAACCACCAGGAGGACCAAGCAGTAACACCCTGTGTCACACGGCAGGCAGCTAGGCCCGGTCCCGTCTGACTCTGGGACCGGGGCCTTTCCACCAGTCTCCCCCGCATCTCAGTCTCTCACTGGTCCTCATGGCAACTTCACTAGCTCACTGGGTGCGCGGGTTCTAGCCTCATCATTGTGCTCACGAGGAAACTGAGGCTCCCAGTTTCCCAAAGCCGCAGAAGTGGGCAGGGCAGGACAGTGGCCGCTCAGGTCTTGCCAAGCGGGGTTGGGACCCCGTGGTGTGCTGACAAACAGGACCTCAACAAAACAAAGCAACAACAATACAACCCGAATCCTGAAAGGCTGCGCTTGCCAATTTCTGTGGTGTAGACCCTGCCACTATGGATCACGTTACACTGTCATCGGTTTAACAGGTGGCTTGTGAAATTCCTGAGTAGGCACCAATGGCCTTCAGGCCCCTGATGCCTGGGGTTTCCTGCTCCCCACTGCCCACATCTGACTTCTCTCGTGGGCACGGCAGAGAATTCCACTGAGAGAACAGGAAGCACCCGATACGGGCTGCTCTCCCAGACCCTGCCTTTGCTAAGCCGCTCGAGGGGAGGAGCCAAGACCCCGGAGGGTTCTCCTCTACCATCCAGCAGCTCAGGGGCTGCTGGGATTCTGGGCCCACGGTGTGGCACATGAGGTGCACCCTGCCCACGGCCACCTGTTCTGATTCCGTACCGTTGTCCTTGTCCCCTGCAGGTATCTGCACATCTGAAGCTCCAGGAGAAGGATGAAGGCAGAAGGGAGATGGTAAGTGTGTGTCTGGGCCTCAGGTGGTCCAGAAAGCTTGTGAAATCCATTTGACAAACATGTGTGGAGGGACTTTTTGGCGCTGGTTTTGTTTGTTGGTTTGTCACCTAGTCTTCTCTGAGGGTGGGGGGACGGTGACATCTCAGTGTGCGTTCTGGCCTGGCCGCCAGGGCCCAGGAGTGAACACTCCACTTCAAGAGCCATGGCTTTGACTCTCAGATCCAGGTGCTGCCACATGAGGACACGGCAGAACCCTGGCCTGAGAGCTTGGATGGCCGGGAGAGCCTGCCTTAGGGTTGGACCAAGCGCTCTGCTCCTTTTAGTGTTTGATACCCTTTTTACTCAGTTGTTTTTTTATAAAACACTAACAATGAAGATGGTTACTCATTTGCTTAAAAATAACCAGCCTCCGCCAGCACACATGGGCAAGAAGAAATTTGGTTCTTACGTGTTATTAACCAGCCTTATAAAAAATAAACAAGGTCCTGGGATGACTGAGACCTTCTCATCCTTTCATCGTTGTTTTGTGGTTCCCTAACACCCCAGGGAGCAGGGAGGGGTTGGGTAGGCAGACCCAGCGGGGGCCAGAAAGCCCCACGTAGCGAGGCAGGGACCGGTGTATACTTACAAACAGGAATCACACAGCGTGAGGGTGAGCGGAGAGGGAGGTCAGGTCAGAGGGGCTTGCTAACGTGGAGAGGACCCTGTAGTGAAGCAGAAATGAGCCCACGGGGGAGCCCCGTCAGCCTTGGCCTCCTAGAACCCACTGCCTCCAGCGCCCCAGGCTTCCGTCCATAATGGGGGGATGGAAGACCCGGCCCCACCTGCCCTGGGTCACCTGCTCTAATTCAGCGGGCAACTGAATTCGATGATGTCGTGCATGTCTTTGAGCTCCACAGAACAGATGTGATCCGTAAGTCAGTAGGCCGTGGGGTGGTTTCCCTGCAGTGTGACCTGCCTGGACCAGCCTTTCCAGGCAGGAAGGGAAACTGAGGAAAGTAGGTTTTCCTGAAGGGCTGGGAGGACAAGTTTGTGCGTCTCAGCTGAGGTTCTAGATTGGGGAGCACAGCCAGCCAGCCTTTTGCCTCCTGCACCAGCTTTGTCTGTTAAGTGATGGCCTTCAGAAGCCAGCTTCCAGGCCCCATCCGGATGGCTGCTTAGGTCTCAGGGGAGGGCCACAGGAACCCTCTCTGCCTGCTAGAGCAGAACAGACAGGCAGGAGACGGCCGTCTTGGTCGGGAATGGAGATGTCTCCTGGGAGGCCGCTGCCCGTGTGCATGTCCTCCTGGTGCCTGTCTGAAGACCCAGACTGGAGGAGAGCCTTGTGCTGTTCTCAGCTGGGTTTACAAGAACAAACACGTCAAGTTGGTGAGCACCTTCTCTGCCACTGTGTGGCTGAATCCTCCCGAGAATGTGAGAGCCTTGTGCCTCTCTCTCTTCAGGTTCAACTGCTGCTGGATTGCACAGGACAACGAGCCACCCCTGCTGGGGCTAGAGGCATTCTTGGGTCCTGCACCCATTTCACGGGAAGCCCCAGCTTGGGCCGGGTGGGCCCTCAGTCCTGGTGCTCAGCCATGTGCACGTTCCACCTCCCCCAAGAAGCCGTCAGCAGAGTTGTGTGATTGTTTTGAAGATAAAAAAACACTGACTGCATGCCTTGACTCATTTCCCTCCAACCGTCTGCGTGTACCCAGGTCTCTATTGTTTATATCTCATGCAAACACAATCAAATGGAATGTTCTAGCAGGTAGTGGAATGTGTTATCCATAGCCTTCCTTGTTTCCTGGAAAAGCAGCCTCAGCCCTCGAGAGACCCCCGCAAGGGAGCTTCGTCAGGAGCGAGGTCTCCCGGGGCTGGGGCATTGTTTGTTCTTTCTGACTAGTTTTAAAACAAAACCAACCTGCAGGGCATCACCCTTGCGAGAACACTGGAGAATGTGCGCTGGACAGGCAGGGAACAAGAAGGCACCCACATTCGTTTTCACCTCCAGCATCCTCTCCGTGGGGGCTGAGGGCAGGTCAGGGCGAAGGCATGCTTGACCACAAGGGGGAGGCCTGAGAAGAAAGATGGGGGACCAGGGGCATGTGCCATGTTTGTGGAGGCCCCGAAGCAAGCCTGGAACAATCAGAACGACTCTTCATCCTGCAGCTTCGGCCTGTGGTTCTGAAGACGGCGGTGGCCTTGTTTTCTAGGAAAGCTGACCCACACAGTCTGTATGGGAGGGAACATGTGCCAGAAAAAGCCCTCCCCACCTGCCCCACCTTGATGGCCTTCCTCCCTGGTTGGTTTCTCTCAAAGGCAGTGCGTTCTAGAAGAGGCAGGGGAGTTGGCCATAGGGATCAGCAAGGGAGAGGCCAAGTGGGATTCGAACTCAGATCTGTCTGACTCAGCTGCTGCCCAGCCCCTGGAGCAACGGAGCCCTGGCTCCTCCTGTCACCAAAACCGCATTTTCTACTGACCCTACAGAAGTAATTCAAGAACCAGAGTGGAAAGTTCCTTCCTTGTGAGTTCCTTCTCCTTTTGGATGACCACATCTTCCCAGAGAAGCCACTGGACTGGGGTCTGCCCACTGTTGCCACCAGGGCCAGGATGATGGCTGGGCAAATTCTAGAGGGACCTCCAAGGTGGGCTGCCCCCAGCAGGTGAGCCTGACGTGGAGGCAGGGAGGGCGGCAGCTAACCTCCCCTTCCTGCGGCTGCCTCCGAGAAGATGCTGGGATGGACCTGAACCCTGCGGCTGAAGCCAGCACCCGAGCCTGCACTGAAGGCTGCTGACCGTTCTGTTCCCTGAGTCGATACCGGATCAATAATCTGGAGCACACAGGGAGGGCTCAGGGTCACAGTGGACTATCTGTATCCTGAAGCCAGTCTGCTTCCCGGGGGCGGGCATCGGTGGGACCACCGTCGGAGGTGGTGACAGCTTTAAGCAGTGTCATTGTGTTGCTGCCACATCAGAGACTTTGTTTTCCTATCGACAAGTGCCAAAGGGACTCCATTCCTTCTTTCCGAGAGGCCTGGCCTGTGTGGCTGTGTGTCTGCTGGAGCCATGTGCATTAGTAATAGTATGTTAATAGCTGCTGTTGACTAAATGCTCTGTGTGCCAAATCTTGCACCAAGCACTTTCATTCTGATGCCCTCCCATGGCCCTTCTGTGCTGGTCAGAAACCTGATCATCCGTCTGTCTATGTGTCCACCCATCCCCCTTTCTGCAAATGTTTATTGACGCCTTCCCTGACCGGGGCCCTGAGCGAGGCTTAAAAGAGAAGGTCACCAGCAGGAGGCAGAACAAGGACTCCAGCCCAGGGGGGCCTGGCTCCAGCTCCTTAGCCTCTTGGACCCAAATCAGGACCTCAGACTTGGAAACGCGCCTGCCCACTTGGCAATGGCAGCCTGGGGTGGGCCCTGATTTCCACGTGTGTCTGCCAGCAAATGAGGGAGGCGGTGGGTGTTTCCACCTGGGCCCTGGAGGTGGCGAGGTGTGGCGGGTGGTCCCTGACAGTCACTCTGGCTCTGCTGCCCCCCAGGTCAAGGAGATCCTGACGGCTCTGGGCTTGCTGTCTTGTGCCAACACGCGGACCGGAAGCCTCTCGGGTGGCCAGCGGAAGCGCCTGGCCATCGCACTGGAGCTGGTGAACAACCCCCCCGTCATGTTCTTCGATGAGCCCACCAGGTAACGGGGAGCAGTGGGAAGCAGCAGGAAGAGCCCCTGCTCTCTCAGCCAGGGGTTTGTCCGGGGGCTCTGCTGTGGCCTCAGAAGGGGGCTGTGTGCTCTGCCTGCCTCATGTTTGCCTTCTGTTCTGGGTCAGCGGCCTGACTTACCTCCCTCTCCCTGTCTGAGACCAGGAGACAGCTGTGGGTTCAGACCTACCCAGTGTGCTCTGAATGTGTGGGAGGGTTTGGGGTCCCGCAGGCGTTTCATGGTGCCCCTTGATTTCAGCGGCCTGGACAGCGCCTCCTGCTTCCAGGTGGTCTCCCTGATGAAAGGACTGGCTCAAGGGGGGAGGTCCATCATCTGCACCATCCACCAGCCCAGCGCCAAGCTCTTCGAGCTATTCGACCAGGTACGCAGGCCCTGCTGTGGTCAGCCCATGTGGACTCAGGTCCCGGGTACTCATGGCTTCCCGGTAGCTCATGGGGGTGTCTTCACTTTTGAGTGGGGCTTAAGTTTTATGTTTCATAAGACTGTAAGACTATAAGCAGCAGAGGTGGCAGGGTGGGAGCGGGTAGGAAGAGCTGGCCAGTGTTCTCCCTCGGGCTGGTGTCCAGCCATGGGGTCTTGGGCAAGTCACTGACATTGCTATGGCTTCACTCCCCTCTCCCCATTATAATGGGGAACACTTGTTTTACAGAATTAAATGGCAGGCTTTGATGTTTGTACAATATCACCTTTTTTATAAATCTTAGGTTTTGATATTATTATAAGCAAAAAAAAAAAAAAAAGAGCAAGGGATGAAATGTGTGTAGCTCCATAATCTTTTCTAATCAGGTGGTTATTGTGAGGGGGAAAAAGCAATATAATAAAGTAATTCCTGGCCACATGATATCCTCAGTCTTCCCTGACTTATCATGGATTTCCCTTTGAACTTGGAGTCCTCAGGAGGTCATGTAAATCTCTCCTGAGAGAGAGAGAGAGAAATTGATTGATGGATGGGTGGATTGATGGGTAGACGGATGGATGGGTGGGTGGATAGATGGATGGATGGAAGGGTGAATGGGTATATGGTGGATGGATGGATGGGTGGTTGGTTGGATGGATGGATGGATGGGTGGGTGAGTGAGTAGATGAATGGGTGGATGGCCAGATGGAAGGGTGGATGGGTATATGGTGGATGGATGGATGGGTGGATGGTGGATGGATGGCTAGATGGTGTGTGGGTGGATGGATGAATGGATAGGTGGGTGAGTGAGTAGATGAATGTGTGGATGGACAGATGGAGGATGGAAGGGTGGATGGGTATATGGTGGATGGGTGGAGGGGTGGTTGGTTGGATGGATGGGTAGGTGGATGGACAGATGGATGGATGGATGGGTGGATGGGTTGAGATCTATTGCTTTGTGGAGGAAAGCAGGGTTGATGATTTTTCCCTCCTTACTTTTTTCCAGCTGTATGTCCTTAGTCAAGGACAATGTGTGTACCGGGGAAAAGTCTCAAATCTTGTACCATATTTGAGAGATTTAGGTCTGAACTGCCCAACCTACCACAACCCAGCTGATTTTGGTAAGTAGAGCCTTGACCTGAGAGAAGGAAAAGAAAAGGGGGTCTTTTCCAATCTTGGTGGGTTTCCACTTTTACCTGAAGTACAGATGGCCCAAGTGCCATCCTGTGGTAGAACTTTTAAGAACAGATGAAAAGAGGTTTTCTTTCCTCCAGATAAAATATCTGGAAACTATAGCAAAGGAGCTCTGACTAGGAGCAACATTTCCTAACACTTTGCTGTGTTATTCTAAAAAGAAATAACCTCTAAAAAAAAAAAGGGCACTTTTGCATTGATTAACAGAAATGTTAAAATGCTGATTTAAGTCTTGACCAAATGTGACAAAAATGGTGACCCTCGGAGTCCAGAGACCAGGTTGATGGTCTGAGGTGCTTCTCTTGACGTGGAGGTGCCGAGGTCGGCGGGCTGCAATGCTTAGCAGCCGGTCGCATCATCACTTGCACAGGCCGTGCGGTTTATAAGCTGACACCTCCGATGCCGACTGCTCCTCCTCTGCCTTCTCCTCTCAGCTCACACCCTCCAGGGCATCGCTGCCACCGTCAGACATCACTTTCCCACCAGATCTCCGTCCTCTGCACCACTTCTCCACAACATGTCACCCCACCTGTCTATCAGCAGACTCGACAGCCTCTTTGTGTCTCCAAAACCAACGCCCTCTTCCTCCCATCAGATCTGTCCTCCTTCATTCCACTCTCCAAGTGGGAGATCTTGGCATCCCTCTTGCTTTCTCATCCTTGCAAATTTTGTATTAACTAGGCCACCAAGTGCTCGAACGCCCGCCCACCCAGTCCCGTTGTCCCCCTCAGCACTGTGCTCGGGGTCCAGTCCTTGCCATTGCACCCTGCCATCCTGGGGCTGCCGTAACAAAGTGACACAGACTGGGTGGGCTAAAACAGTAGAAGTTCATTCACTCACGGTTCTGAGGCCAGAAGTCAGGATGTCGGCAGGGCTCTGCTCCCTCTAACGGTTCGAGGGGAGGGTCCTTCCTGCTTCCTCCAGCTTCTGTTGGCTCCAGCATTCCTTGGCTTGTGGCCACGTCTCTCCAATCTCTGCCTCTGTCTTTACATGGCTTTTTTTCTCTGTGTTTCTCTCTGTGTCCTCCCTTCTTCTTATAGGGACACCAGTCATTAGACTCAGGGCCCACCATAAATCCAGGATTTCCTCTCAAGATCCATCACTAATTACATCTGCAAAGAACCTTTTCCAGATAAGGCCATGTTCTGAGGTTCCAGGTGGACACAAACTTTCAGGGGACACTATTCAACACTCTACAACCCTCCTCCTGGGTCCCCCAGTCATCAACCTTTCTTGCTCAGTTTTTCTTTCTGACTCTGGCCACGCCACTCCCAGGACTCCATATTTCCTCCAACATCATCTCCCACATGGTGTTCCATGAGACACTGTCCCTGGGAAATGCTTCTCTCTTACACAAAGTGGGCTATGACAGAGAGGATGGAGAGCTTGGTGAGCTGGAAGGAGATGGGGGGAGAGAGCTTTGTTAGGGAGGGAATTGAGCCTGTTGAAAAGGCAGTGGGACAGGTCCTGTCTGTAGCTGCCTGTTTGTTCATGAGCGAGAGAAGGATGGTGCGGCAGGTGCTGCTGAGCAGGGGGAGGGAAGCAAGGCCCAGGGCCTACAAAAAGGTGAGAAGTTAGAGAGCAGGATGGACAGAGGAAAGAAATAGGGCACATGGGACTTCGAGGAGGTCCCAGAAAGGTGAGAGTGTGTCCCTTCTGGTGGCTTCTATTCCCTCAGTGTCACCTGGAGAGAGGGCCGGAGTTGAGGAGAGAGTGGTGGGTGTGAGTAAGCAGGGGAGTGGGCAGTGCTGGGCTCGTATGGCATCCTTGATGATGATGTTCTGGTGCGGCCAACCTGTCCTGTTTTACGACTGGATCTAGGGGTGCTCAGCCGCCCTGATTCGGGCTCAGGGAAAACAGATAGCTGGTTTTGCCGGAGGAGAGCACCAAAAACCCAAGGCCCCGGGGACTGTGGGAATTAGCAAGAAAGTCATTGAGATGCGAGGCCTGGACGTACGCAAGGAAGGATGCGGGAAAGGAAAAGGCAGATAGACTGGGAGAGAGCAGGTCGGCAACAGGAAGGAGAGCAGTTGCCATGAGAGTGTGGAACCAGGAGAGACAATGAGGCAGAGTGGGACCTTGAATGAGTGTAGAGTGCAGAGGAAGCGTGATGCCCGATGCCCGGGGCCAAGGAGGGATGGTGGGAGCAAGGGAGGACGGTCAGTGGAGGAGATGCTCCCTGGGGATCTGAGGGTGGGGCTGATGGTCCCAGACCTCAAGGTCCCCAGGGTGCCAAGCACACCTCATGGCCCCGGGCTCTTCTCCATGGTCCTGAAGGACTGCCACAGCTCGTCACTCACACTCCTCCCCAGGCGCGAACTGCGAGCTCTCCAAATGGGAACCCCGCTCCATTCTGCTCCCAGCTCCAGCTCTGATGCTTGCCTGCATTCAGTAAATACTGGCTGGATGAACAGGTTACTGGATGCGTGAGCTAATGACTTCTCAGGCTCCCTGACGTCACAATCCATATTTGCATTCTCGGGCTCCCGCCAGAATAAATGGTCTTGCTGGGGGTTCTAGAGCCGATTTTGAACATTTCAAACATGGGTTGCTCCATGATTTTAGCGTGTCGTCATCATCCTCATCATGCAGCATCAATGTGATCCGTTAAAAATATTCCTGCTGGATTAATGGCTGTGTTGTTGCAAAATGAAAGAGGCCTTCAGTTCGCATTGGCTATGTCAGGGCGCCTCTCCTGGGGCCCGGGCTGACTTCGTCTGTGTCTCATGCAGTGATGGAGGTGGCGTCTGGTGAATATGGCGATCAGAACAGCCGCCTGGTGAGAGCCGTCCGGGAGGGCATGTGCGACTCTGACTACAGGAGGGAGCCCGGGGGCGATGCCGAGGTGACCCCTTTTCTTTGGCACCGGCCCTCTGAAGAGGTAAAGCAGGCAAAACGATTGAAGGGGTTGAGAAAGGTAATGGAACTCCCCGGGCCCCGCGGAGCGTGCATGCTACGTCTTGCACTGCTGCATGAGAACGCTGTTAGCCGAGAGGAGAGGCGGGCGGGGCTGGAGTCTCACCTCTGTTCCTTTCCTGTGTCCTCAGGACTCCGCTTCCATGGAAGGCTGTCACAGCTTCTCGGCCAGCTGCCTCACGCAGTTCTGCATCCTCTTCAAAAGGACTTTCCTCAGCATCATGAGGGACTCGGTAAGGGGCTTTGCAATAGTCCCTCGTGACAAAGGAAGCTGTCCGTCCTTTTCTGTTGATTCCTCCTGACTGACCTTTCAGACTGTTTTTCCTCCATTTGCATCTGTCAGCTTTCACTCTGTGATGCCGCAGTAACAAACACTCCCCAAATACCAGCGGCTACAGCAGTAAATATTTACATCTTACTTGTGTCATGTGTTGGCATCTGTGGGTTGTGGCCCTGCCCCAAGTGTCTTCTCATCCTGGGACCCAGAATGGAGGAACAGCTCCTTTCTGGAACATGGCAAAGGGAAAGTGCGAGAGAGAAACCAAAGGGCAGCCCTTAAAACTTCTGGTTCAAGGTGGCAGGTTGTCTCTTGTGCTCACATTCCATTGGCCAGAGCAAGTCATGTGGCCAAGCCTGACATCAGGGCATACATTCCTCCCTAAGAAAGTACTGGAAGGCATGGGGCACTGGTGGGTCGTCCAAAGCCTTATGGGGAAGGGGGTGGTGAATGGTCAGGAGCCATGATAACGTCCGCCCTTTAAAGTGGACAGTCTGACAGCCTGCCGAGGAGTCCCATGCTCAGGGGGCCTCTGGGACCAGTGTGAAAGATGGAGGGGCCGGTAGCAGCCCCTGGAGAGCAGGCCTCTGCTGTGTCCGCTCTTCATCCCCCCACCCCATTGTTTCCACTCGTCCTCTCCTCTGAAGGTAGACTGCCTTTGCGTGCCATTTTTGAACAATTCCTTTTGTTTTAACAGCCATAAAATGCTGCCTTATGCGTGTATGTTTGGTTCAGGGTTGGGGACTTGATTTTCTGGAGGAGAAATCAGGGGCCGATGTTCCAAAGGCCTTGGCCCCATCGTTCTTTCGCTGCCTGCCCTCGGAACTTCCACGAGTGAGACCCGTGTCTGCCCCCAGGTCCTGACGCACCTGCGGATCACTTCCCACATTGGGATCGGCCTCCTCATTGGCCTGCTCTACTTGGGGATAGGGAACGAAGCCAAGAAGGTCTTGAGCAACTCCGGCTTCCTCTTCTTCTCCATGCTGTTCCTCATGTTCGCGGCCCTCATGCCCACCGTCCTCACGTGTGAGTGCCTCCCTGACCACAGTACCCCTCTCCTTCGTGACCTGTGATTCCGACCCACCAATGGAGGACCGAGGGCATGGCTTGGCCAATAGATGAGTTTTCTCAACACGTAGAGTCTTGTCTTTTGAAAATACCACTTTCTTTGTTGACAGATGTAGGTATTATTGTATTTTCTCTTAGACAAGAAAATAAGTACAATATTTAAGCCAAAGGAATGAATCTCTAATGGAGGGCTTTTGAGCATAGTGGAAAGCTGATGAGAGAGAGGTTACTGAAAGGGTTCCTAATCAGGCACCCCTCAAATTCTGTTCCTTAAGCATTACCTCATTCAGTTATTAAGAAATCCCCGGGACAGCCAAGTTTGTGAGTGGATGAGGCTGTTCTAGATGGATTTCCGTGCAATTCTAGATTATTTTCAAAGTAGGCTGCCCTTGGCCACTTCAGACTGGCCATGCAGGAATCTGTTGCTTCACCGGAACTCCAGCATGAACACCTCCTCCCCACAACGCCTCCCCCTCAAATTGCCCTGAATTTCCAAGAGCAGCTTGCGAGGTCCCGCCCAGGGGAAGGAATCGCGTCGTTACAGTCACTCAATGAGAGTAAGCTTAGTAGCAAATACTTGTGCTAATCACGAAAATATCAGGATCCGTGTAGTGTGGGTGTTCTCCGCTGGATGCCTCTCCAGGTTATGAAAATGGTCGGCCGTTTTCCCAGGCTAGTAGATAGTCCTGTACCTTTCCCTTCAAACTCTCGGGGCTGTAGGTGTCAGAAGGCCCACGCCGGGGCCTAGGCCAGGCAGGGTCGCAGAGCGCTCAGCACAGGATCGCCTGTTGGCTATCTGGCACGCTAGGTACATCTGCCTGACGCCCTTTTCCGTCTTCCCGTCTCCTAGTTCCCCTGGAGATGGGAGTCTTTCTTCGAGAACACCTGAATTACTGGTACAGCCTGAAGGCTTACTACCTGGCCAAGACCATGGCCGACGTCCCCTTCCAGGTGCGTAAGGGAAGGGCCGTGATTCGAAGCGGGGCACGAATTCTCCGTCACACCCTGGCGAACCGGGCGGGCGACCCCGGTGTCCCCCAGAGGGTGACGGACGCTGTGTTTCCAGATCATGTTCCCCGTGGCGTACTGCAGCATCGTGTACTGGATGACATCGCAGCCGTCCGACGCCGTGCGTTTCGTCCTGTTTGCCGCGCTGGGCACCATGACCTCGCTGGTGGCGCAGTCCCTGGGCCTGCTGATCGGAGCTGCCTCCACGTCCCTGCAGGTGCCGGCCGCGGGATGGGCATCCCTTCCCCACCTTGGCCGACACGGAGTGGGGGTCGGGGCGGCTGCTGTCCTGGTGGAGCTCAGCCCACCCCTCCTTCCTAAGACCCCTCCTCCTGATTCTACCCCAACTTCCTAGGCTGGCTTCACCGGGTTGATCCCCAGGGAAGGAATCACCTTGTCCGGGCAAATTGACAACAGCGGGAGCCCTTATGTGGCACCTAGTGTATACCAGGTGCCCTTATGTTGTGCTTAGTGTATACCAGGGCTGATCTGGGTGCTTTCCAAATATTAGCTCATTTATTCCCAAGCACATCCACGAGTTAGGTGCCATGCTATCCCCATTCTACAGGTGGGGAGACTGAGGCTGGAGAGGCACAGTGATTTGGTCAGGGTCACGCAGCTGGCTTGGAGGCCAAGCTCTTGGTGCCTACATTTTGTTGCCTCCATGAGATCCTCTCGGCCATCCCTCCGAGCCCCCAGTGCACTCCACGCTCCCGCCCCCTAAGCCCTTCCACCTGCTCCCTGGGGCTCCGAGTGCCCCTGCTAGACGCCTATACACCTCACCCCAACCTACCAAACCCGCATGCATATGGGTTTCTCCACCTTCCTGGCTTTAGGGTGCTCAGGCCTGTCCTATCCTTAAAAACAAACCCAGGACTTGGTGAGTCACGCACCGCCGAGGCCTTCCGACATCCTCTGCCGGGTGCTGTGAACCCCGTTTCCGTCTTCAGAGCCCACTGCCCCGGAGCTGCTCAGCCTCCAGGGCAGCCCCCTCATCCATAGGTGGGAACAGCTGCCGTACCATCGCATGGCCGACAGACACGGAAAGTGCTCGGCCCGCGCCAGCCACAGGAAGCTCGTTGCCCCTTCTTCCTTCAGACACGGCTGAGACACCAGCCCGTGGTCAGCTCCTCAGATGGCCGTGTGCCCCCCACGTTAAGCTCCCTCATCACCATTTTCTGAAGGGGCCCTGCCGCTACTCTGCGGGGGCTTTACTCTTTTTTACCTTCATCCCCTCTGCTGGGCCAGCTGAGCCTCTGGGCACAAAACCCCACCCCTCTCTGTGCAGGACACCAGGCCGCTCACTCAGAAACGAGACGCTTCTCAGCGCCATCCTGGCCTTGGGGGCCCACCCGTCTTGAAAACTCTGCCCTGCTCCTAGCTGTCCAGGCGACTGTCCAGGAATGTCGAATGTGGCCTCTGGCGCTGCCTAGGGAGGATGTTGGGCGGGACGGCCCACCTGCTCCCTCCCAGTAAGTTCCCCTCTGTCCCCCCCCAGGTGGCAACGTTCGTGGGCCCCGTGACGGCCATCCCCGTCCTCCTCTTCTCGGGATTCTTCGTCAGCTTCGACACCATCCCGACTTATCTGCAATGGATGTCCTATATCTCCTATGTCAGGTAGCGTGGGGGGGGCTTTCCCAAGACACAGGGAAGGGACTTGGTTAACGTGCAGACGCTCACAGAAGCCACTTCTTGGCTGTCGGCTAAATGTCGGCATGCCTCCTGGGTCGTGAATTCAAGACTGTGGATGCCTTTTATTTTTTTCCTAGTTTTGTGTGCCCCCACCCTCACCAACACACACACACGCACGCACGCACACACGAGAATAAAATAAATACTTGTGATCCATGCCCTGGAGAAGCCACGGTGGGCCCCGTGTTCTGCACGTTTTGGAGCACTGCCTTGGGTGGGAGTGTTTCCATCTTTTAGGCACTTCGTTCCTCTCTGGAATAAACACTGCTTATAACAAGGTTCTGAAGATTTGTAAAACCTTCATAAGAAATCCAGTGGAAAACAAGTCATGTTTCACGCATCCTCATATCTTTGAACAAGAATGTTCCGGCGCCTTGGGCATGAGGCGATCAGATTTCACGCTCTCTGTTCCGTGGTTCTTTGGCACGGTGGCCCTCGGAGTGCCGTGCCCACCTTTAAAGCTTTTCTCCCCAGCTGTCGCGATTCCACGTGACACACAAGATCCGAGGCTGGGAACAAGCTTTTGTTTTCTAGAATGTCAGTTCAGACCCAGGTATATTGTTCAGGAAAACAAAATGGAAACAAAGCCCTTGGACAGAGTTTCGGCAGTCTGTGCACGCTCCGACACCAAGAAATCAGAAACCCACGTCTTTCTTCTCAAAATTCGTGTTTTTGTTCTGACCGTGTAGGGCTGGAACAGAACGATAGATGGTGCAGAAATGTATTATTTAAAATGCTCTAAAGTCCTTGGAAGGTACGAGGCCCTTGATTATATCTAACTGTTCAAAGAAGAGTGTAATATCAGAAGTAATTAGAGTATTTTTCAATTCATTTCACCACTGAACAAATATGCACCATTCGTTCAATCTGGGTCTTTTGGTGGAGCCTGGAGGAAACAAAACTGGCAAAGACCCGGTCAGGTGGTTGCACGTGTTTATCTGAGGAAGCAGTCGAGAGCTTCAGAAGTGTTTCCGTGGATGATGCTTTACCCTCCACAAAGGGAGGCGAGTGGGGGAGGAGGGGAGTCAGCTGAGCCGGTGGGGTCAGGGCCTCGCTCATCCCCCGCTCTTCCCTCCTCAGGTACGGCTTTGAAGGCGTCATCCTCTCCATCTACGGCCTCGACCGAGAGGACCTGCACTGCGACATCGACGAGACGTGCCACTTCCAGAAGTCGGAGGCCATCCTGAGAGAACTGGACGTGGAGAATGCCAAACTGTACCTGGACTTCATCGTCCTGGGGGTTTTCTTCATCTCCCTGCGCCTCATCGCCTACTTTGTCCTGAGGTACAAAATCCGGGCGGAGAGGTAAAGCAGTGGAATGCCAGCAGAGAGGAAAACGAGACACTGTGGCCCAGGGCCACGTCTAGAATCGTGGAGGCAAGCCTGTGCCACGGACACAGAGACCACGGTGACGCAACCCCTAGAAGCCACGTTTGGTTTCACGGGGGTCACGCATTCAACTTCTCTGCCCAGCTGGGTTGGGTCTTCTGTCCATTACCCTTTCTAGCTTTCACTAGGAAGATGTAGGAAGGTTTTTTCTTTTTTTTTTTTTTTTACGTGAAGAATTTTAAAATACTGCAAGTAGGGCAGAATTTAAAACTGCAGCAAAGCTGGTGACAAGAGGCTCCCTCAGTCTGTTCCTTCTGGTGACGCTGGTCCTGGATGGAGCATTCCAGCAGCTTCTCAGCTGATCACTGTGCAGTTAGGCGTCGGGGCAGAAAGGCGAGGCGCAGCGTGAGTCCATTTTATGACTATTGTTTTCCTAATTTCATCTTTCTACCTTTTGCCTCTTTTTCCAAGCCAGATGTCGATAGATTTCATTTGTTTTAAGAAACTGTATCTTTTTAGTACTTGTTGAAGAAAATTATTCAGGGTAAATAACATGCTTTGTTTAGAGATACGAGGAGTTTAACTTAAGCGCTGAGCTGGTCTCATTCGGGGACAGGACCTGCGTGAGACACAGATGCAGGCGCCGGGTGGAAGGAAGACTTTGGAACTGTATGGGCTCGGTTGTACCTAAATTTTAAAAAGTTACACAAAAACATTGTAAGGTGTAATCGGCCAAGTCTTTCAAAGTCTTCTATTTTCCCCATACTTCATATTTTAAGCAAAATATATTGTTTCTTTTTTCCTAACTTTCTGAGCACCTTAATTTTGCCTAAGAAAAAATTCCAGAAGGTCAACCCTATTGATATTTTACAAACATTTCTCTTTCCTCGTCTGTCACATCAGCTACCTCCATGGGACCTGGGAAAGCCGGGCTTGGGGAATTCCGGGTGGGGATGTTGAGGGCTCCGCAGGTGCAGCAGGTGAGAGACGAGCCACCTGCATGAGAGGGAAGGTGCTGAGACTTCGTTAGCATCCAAGGACTTCGCAGGACACTGGCAAAGACCTCGTGCGTCCGAGGAGTTTGTAGCTCCGTCAAACAATGCACCTAGAGCTGCGGGCGAGTCCATCTCCCAGGTCCACGCGCCGTGGCGTCTCCGCTGCACCACCCTTTCACTGTTGGGCTTCTGTAGCGTTGAAGAACTGGACACTCCTTTCCCGTGACATAATCCTATCAGTGAAATCCCTCCAGAGCGGGCACGGTGGGCCCATCTGCAGGGTGGACGGCCTTTGACTTCCCCACAGGGCGCCCTGAGCTTGTCAGCGGTCAGAGGCAGTGTGACTACAGGGTGGAAGGTGATTCTGGCCACAGAAGGTCATCTGAAGGAAAATGGAACTGCTTTCCCCTCTGGAGTATCATTATCCTGAAATCGGGGTCTCCGAAGGAAGGACTGTATTTTTGTGGGCAAACTCGTTAACCTCTCTGAGCCTCAGTGTGCTCCTCTGTAAAGAGTTGTCCTGGATCGTCTTCAAGGCTGTGCTCAGCTCTGTAAAGCTCTGAGATCCCTCAGTTGTGTTCTGGAAGCTCTTATTTCCAACTTTAAGAGAATGAGAGGAGGCCATGTGTACGTGGATTTGATTTGCAAATGCTTAGAGATATCCTTTTCACCCTTAGATCCCTTTTAGTAAATACAATTGAGATACATTAAAATGTAATTTTAAGTTTGCTTATTCTACGCAAATGAGGCATTGCCTTCCAGATGAAGTTATTTCACCAGGGTCACGCTTAGCCTTCATAAAAGCCCTCATTGAATTTCAGGATAGATTTGCCTGCGAGACAGCACACAGACAGAGGAAGACCCACACAGGAACAGCCTGGTGCAGGTGTCGAATCGGGAGAGGAGAGAGTCCTGGATGGTGGCTGAGAACTAAGCAGGGGAGGTCAGCACTCAGAGGACTCCTTCCTGCCGGGTGTGTCCTTCCGGCTGTGGGCCTGTGACCCTAGGAAGGAGGTGTGGGCGGGAGCTGCATTGTGTGGGGCCGCCCATCTCCGCTCTCCACAGGCGGCTTCGTCTCATTCATGGAGCCCAGGGGGCTGCATCTCAGCAATTCTGGAAGGAAACAGTGAGATTCCCTCAGATTTCAAGTCTGGTTTCCAAGCACATGGAAGCCCTCGGGAAGAATATTTTCCTAGGTTTCATGCTCCCTGCATTTCCATCCTCCACTGTTAACAGATTATATCCATCCCTTAATAGAGGGGGAACAGATCAAGCTCCTCCCAAAGGGCAGATCTTGGGGGACCTGAGGACTATTGGGCTGTGAGAAGGGAATCACATGGGCAAAGGAACACAGCTATTTTTTAAAGGATGCTACCAGAGTGTAGCAAGTATTCTGAAGTCCCCACCGCTGGATAATTTGCTTAGGAAGCACCCACAGCCATGTGGAACACGGATGCGTCAGTTCTCGAATGCTCCCTTCATCCCCCTTCAAGTGTCAACAAGTACCCCTCGCTCTCGCCTTCTCATTATTAACCCTTGGCAGCATGTACTCAAATGCTGCCATTTGTTTTGGGGTAGTCTGATAAAACATCTTGTTCCAATGGCCTAAGGTAACATCCAAGCGACTTACTGACTTGTTTTCTACGTAGTTGTGGTTAAGAGGTAGGTGGTGATATGCTGTCCTTCCTACTGTGGAATTTAAACCAGACCAACTTCCTGAATCTAATTCTTTTAAGTAATTTCTGATGGAATGACTCAAATATTCTTTTCATCTCTGATAGTACTTCTTCACTTAGAAGGAAGGGTTAGACCTTGGATAAAGGATGCACAACCTCTCCAGTGCTAGTAGAGAGAAAAACGGAAGTGCGGAGAAAATCACTTGTCAGTGAAACTTGTCGGGAGAGAAAGGGGAACGCGGTGGGTTCTGCCCGCCCCTCCCGCTCCGGCACAGCTTGAGGGCCTGGGTCTTTGCTGACAGCCCCATCTCGGGACCCTTTCCCCCTCTCTGTCCTCATTCAGAGCGTTTCATGCTGCTGCTTCTCCTCCTCTCGTTGAACGTCAGCTACAGAATTAAATTCTTCAAAAGTTCCTGCCTGGATGAAGTGGGAGGCTCTCCCCAAGAAGGGAGGAAACCCGTGTGAATATTTTACATGGAAGATGCTGCAGTCTGATGATGTCCCACCTTGGGGGAGGGGCCTTCAGGACCAGGAAATGGGACATGAGCTTTTAGGTCAAAACCCTTCCTAGAGACCCACAAAAAGGCCATTTCTCACCCTGACAAAAGCACTGCCAGGAGGTCAGGGACAGGCTGTATCCGTGAGGGGGACATCACTGTGGTTGTTTCCCTGAGAAGAGAAAGCTCCAGGGCACTGAGCATCTTTCCTGCGGAGTGGTCCAGGCCCTGCACTGGATGCCTTACGAATCCCTCTGTTCCTTCACTCACTCAGCACACATTTATCGACCCATCCCCACGTGCGTGGTGCTGTCCCAGGCTCCAGGGCTCAGGGGCCAGAACTCAGCTGCAGACCTGCCCCCAGGGGGCCTCGCTGTATTCATCCTGCAGTTGCAGAACGCCCAGGCCAGGAGAGGGTCAGTAAGGGCCTGGGTCCCAGGGCCGGGAGAGAGCAGAGTTGGCATTTGAGCCCCAGTCTGACCCAAAAGTCTCTCTTGTTTTTGCTTTGCCGTGTTGTCTCCTGTTCATGCTGTACAAGCGTGCGTGAAAATGCTTCGTCGGGTCTGAAGTGCAATACTAGTTTAGGCGCTTTTCCTTCTGGACTTGCCATCTCCAAGCAGATAGCTGAGATGGGAGGCTGGCCCGGCCCCCGCCCTCGATGGCCCTGCATAGGGGTGTGTGAGCTGGCCGGGGGGCTGAGCTCCCTCCCGGCTGGGTGCAGAGCCGCCTCCCTCTGCCCTTCCTAACGCAGCACACCTGTGGGTCAGCTGGGTCTAGACAGGGGGTGTGGGTGTGTGTGCACTCACTAGGACTAGAGAGGACAGGTGTGTGTGCGTGTGTGTACATATGTACACACGTGCACACGTGTAGGCTTGCTCCAGGTGTGTATCTGATGGCTCTTCTGTGGTGTCTCCTTTGTCTCTAAATCCTCGCTTGTCCTTTACTCCAAGAAGGAAAGAAAAAAATTCCCTCCCTTCACGCCTGTTGTGCAGACAATGACAGTGTAGTCAGGCCTCATGAAGGCTTTCGTCAGATGTGGTAAATTAGACTGTGACCAAAAGCAAAACAAAGCCGCCAAGGTGGGAGGTGCGGAGGGTGCGAATTTGAGTTAGATACTTTTAAGAAATAAAGACTGCTAATAAAGTATTTTATATAAAACTTTTTACTTGTGTTCAGTGTAAATGCTTCAAAATGGGAAATGATTTGCTGGAATCGTATTAGGCAAAAGGGATTTTTCAGTGGTATTTTGAAAACATTTGTCGTCCGTCTGGTAAGGGTTCTGCTTCTCCACGTCGTGTTCTGATCTTACGCCCGACTGTAAATTGTCACCTTTCTCTCTCCAAAACCTTCACGTTTTAGGTTGAACTGTCTTCGAGTTTTGTGTTTCCCCTCCATTCTCGCGGACCCCTCGCCCACTTCCTCCTGCCTTGTTTGTATTGGCCTTGGCCTTGAAAAGTGCCGAGGCCCCAGATGCTCGTGGTCCACGAGGTCCCGTCAAGTCCTCTCCACCCTTGCGATGGTCCCACGGACGTGGGCGCCCCGGGAGGTAGTTCCACCAGAAAGACACCCCTCGTTTGTTACTCTAGCAATCTGGGAGACCCATTTCTCAGGCCCCAGCCTCTCTAGGTCAGCTGCTACGCTAAAGCATCACCTCCCCAGAGTCACAGTGAGCAGGACCCAGAAGGAGCCTGGAGTCCCGTGTTGCGTTGGCTCGCCAGCTCCCCAGACGGCCGCTGGTACACGTACACAGAGCCAGGACTTGCAAGGACAGCGGTAGGTGCTAGGCTGGGCTGTCAGACTGGCCTTCCCTCCCACCTGGGACACAGGGCAGAGAGCAAGGCTGGGCAAAGGCACAGAACCGATGGCCCGCAGTCCTAAGTGACAGGGAGGGAGGAGTGGTGTGCACAATCAGAGAGCACCCCAGGTGTGAGACAACCTCGTGACGGCAGTGCGTGCCGGCCCACCTGCTGCCTTCACTTCTCCTCTACACCTCTCTGCCTTTGCAGACCTGGCCTCCTTCAATCCAGCTTACATCAGGGTCCTGGTCCTTCTGGGCCTCTCACATCAGGGACGTTCCTCTGAGATAATTGCCCTCTGCAAAGACAGGGGCTTCTGATGACTGTGTTCAGGGCCCGCCTGGGACCAGAAGTGGGGAGTCCCACACCCCCATTGCACAGTCTAATTTTCATGCTCGCAAGCTCAGTTCAGCCTGAACTTGAAATCCATGCCTCCTGGGCAGGAGCACAGTGTGAGCGAAGATGACGCCCAGATGCCCATCCTTCTGCTGGGGGTAGCCTAGATTTTCTGATAACACTGTCTCTCCCTCCCCATTCCTTATTCCCATCTTTGAGGAAACAGAAGAGTTTCGCCTTAGCCCAGTTTTTTATGTTATCTCTGAATGTGCCAACTTGGAATCATTCCTCCAACAGACCATTTATAGCCCACTCCAGTGCGTCCTGTGCCAGCCAAGGAAACCTGCTGTGCATTTACGGCCACCTAGTTGATGAGTGAGGCATGTGCGCACAGGTCAGGCTTACAGACCCTGATGTCTGCTGTTCTCAGAAGTAGTCCCCCAGCATCAAAAAGGGGGAAATGATCCATGCACACTGGCTCCCAGTTCCCTCTGGGGCGAGTGATTGTCATTGGTGGGGCACCGCTTTGGGGCTTTTCCACGTTATAATGACCACTGTAAAGCTGAAGAGAAAGGAACAGAAGCACAAAACTGCCCTTGTTTTGTCACACACCCGGCTGAGCCTGCCGGCTGGGTCTGGGCTCCGCTTTCTGAGGGCTCACTGTGCCGTGGAGGCGGGGCCAGCTGTGGGGTTCCCACAGCTGGATGGTTGAGCTCGCCCTGGCTGCTCCCCGTTCCCAGGAGATATCCCATGGCCCCAGGACCATGGGAGGTTCCCTGTGGAGTTTGTGGTTTTAGAGACAGCCTTTCAGCCCCCAAGCGGGAATGTCACATCTTGGGAATGGCGTGAGCCCAAGCCACAGAAAATTAAAAACAGCAAAACTCAAAAGGATTACCTTCAGCGGAAGTTTCTCGCACCATCCTCTGTTTGGACTGTCTGAATAAACACGAGAGACCCCTGTTTGACCCCTTTGGCTTACACTTTGCACATGAATTCAGACGTGGCCCTGGGAGTGTGTACAGTTCGACAGCCTTTGGTATGTTCCCTGATGTTACTGATTTGGGGGAACTTGTAAGCCACCCGCTCTTACTCCTCCTGGTGGGGGTCACACCTCACGTGCAGCAGGGGCCAAGGGCAGCTGGGACAGATGCTGAGGCCCGGCTGGCAAGCCTCGGAGCCGTGAGGGGGGCCCCTCCCTTCTGGCCTGTGTGGCGGCCGCTTCTCGAGTCCCCCAGGCGGGTCTCCCTGAAGGAGAGCTGAGAAAGGCCTTGCTGCCAGCGCTGAGAGTGGACCAGTCTCCTTTCACGTCTGCCCGGAGGCTGGTCCAGCACCAGCCCCTTCCTCCCAGCGCAGCCCTGGATCAGCACACGGAGCTTACCAGAAAGCAGTGTTTGTCGAGTGGGGCTGTGCTGGAACAGCAGGCTCAGCCGTCTCTGGGGGAGGAGCGACCAAAACTATCCGCCCTCTTGGGGGGCCCTGAGTGCGCCCTGTCCTGCTTGGTCAAGTGGATCAAGCCCTGAGGGGAAAGGCTGGAAACCATGGGGTGTGCGGGGTTAGGGCTGAGCGCCCTGGACGTGTGGGTTCCCGGCGGTCCCAGGGGCAGCCCGCTCTGAATGGTACGGAGGGACTGACTTTCTGACGGTGTTTCACTGGCCGTGGTAGCTCTTCTACTTTATAACTTCATGGGTTCTTTTTACAATTCTGTCGTCATGCACCTTGGGGGTCTCTTTTCCATGACCTGTGGATCACAGGCTGCCTGCGGCTTCATTCTAAGTATCTCATTTTTAAGTTATCGGCCGATTAAAAATTGTACCCCAAGGCTTTTTCACCCAAACTGCTAGTAAAGTGGACCACTAAGCCCGCAATGGGTCTCCATGTTTATCGTCTTACGCTCCCCGTGGAAGCAGGTGACTGGAGACGGGCTTCTCAATGGAACGTGGATGTTTAAAAAATTAATATCTGTCAGTGACCCCCTCACTCTGGTTTATTCGTTTTTTCCTTTGTGGACATATTGGTGCAATACCTGATCATAGCTGAACCTGTCATGAATCGTTGCCTTTTGTTTGATGAGCAGCTACGTAAGATTTCCCCTCTGTTATCCCTTCCAAAGCAAGAGTCAATGCAAGTAACATTTCTAATCAGCGTGCAAATATGTGCATAGATCTGTATATCTAATATGTAATTATATAGTCCCAGATTTTTATAATGCTGTATGGTTAACTTCCTATTGACTTAGCCATGTTACTTTAGGAAATGCTGTTGCTTGCACGCTGCAAGAGGTTTGCACTGTTGTAGATAAATACAACATATATACATACGTACATATATATATAGATATATATATTTAAAAATAACTTCAGCTCTCTTGGGCACTTGTTTCCCTCCTTTGGAATATAGACCCGAGCAGACCCTCGGATGTGAGCTTTCTACTCTCCCTTCCATGGTCCCGCTCTGCGTATTCCTGTGGAGTTATCTCCTTAGAAGATTTGTATGTGCAGTTTTTGCAGACTTGAACTTTGTTTTCTGAAATTAGATGCCATTTATGAATATGTGACATAAATCAAATAAAGCATCATTATTTTCAGATTTCTCTTTCTCTCTCCTTCTTGCTTTCGAAAACACCAGCTCTCAGACCTGCTGGGAGACTGGGGCCCCGGGTCTGGCCAAGAAGCGGGGTACTTTCTTCTTGCACGGCCCTTGCTCTTAATGGAGCAGTGCCTTTGGTAGGTGTTGTAATGGCTGCAGATGGAGCTGGGAAGAAAAGTAAGAGTGACAGTAGCGTAGCCCCAGCCCCCGCTTGTCATGTGGTAACACAGGGTGAAGTGCCTTCTCACTCACCGTCTCATTTAACTGCCATCCTCGGAGCCAGAGAGCCAGCAGTGGTCCAGTTTTGCAGATGAAGAAACTGAAGCTCAGAGAGACCAGGTAGTTTGCCTGAGGCAGAATTCACTGTAGCTGGGGAGCCAGGGCTCCTGACGCCCCACCTTGGGAAGAAGGCATTGAGGAATTGACAGCAGAGGAAGAGAATCCATTTGTCACAAGAAGTGGCCTGGGGGAATCTGTCCCCAGTGACCAGGGGAAACTTCTCCCAGACACTTTGCTAAGGGGTAAGATGACGGCGAAGTTCCCCAGGAGTCCACTTTGGGGATCTAAGGGCCCCATATGGATCAGCACTGGGTTCGGGCTGGGCCTGGGTCCGGGTGTCACTCTGGGAAGGTCAGCTGGGTATGGCCATGATGGGTAGGACAAGGTAACCCTTGTGGGTGTGGAGGACGGTGTGCATTCAGGGACAGGACTGAGAGAAAAGCCAGGGCTCCCTGTCCCTTCTTCCTGCCTAGGTTTCTCTGTCCCTAGATGCTGTTCTGTGCCCCCAAACCACCCGCCACCTCCCCCATCAAAATCCCCCTTCCTTCCCCACTTCTTCCAAAATGATCTCCGTCATCATTTTTAAACTACAAATATTCCACACACTTGTTTTAACAAATAAAACGAAAGTTAATCATCTCACCTCCAACCCACCCCAATCATACCCCCAGAGGTAACCAGCCTTGACAACCAAAGGACAGTTTATTCTCTCATCTGCTTATCACCCCCAAGAAAGAGACGGGCGCGGCACTGGCTCGCCTCCCCACGCGCTGGCCTTCCCTTGTACGGACTGCAGACAGCGCTCCAGACCAGAAGCACAGGGCTCCTCATTCTAGCTTTAACCACTGCAGGGCACACTGTTGCCGGAACGTTCCAGAATCCATGCAGCCATTTCCCTTCTGATCGACACTATGGTTGTTTCCACGATAACAAACATGCTTTAATAAGTCTGAAAAATTGGACAGCATCCTTGTAGTGATATCCTCATAAGCTATAATTTAGACCACAGAAGGATTTCTGGAAACCCAAATGGAAGGAAATCCAAGATGTAAATGCGGTGCGTAGAGAGAGCGCCCACTGATGATGGGACCTGCAGACCCCCGTGTGCCCCTCCCTCTCACGGTGCCCCAAGGGGGCTTTCAGGGCTGTCCCATCCGGCCCTCTGGCCTCCAGTGACTCTCGGGGACTGCAAGCGCCCAGGGCGCCGGGACCCCACACAAGGCTGCCAGGGCCTCAGCCATTAGCTCATGTGGGTCCCGCCTCACCCAGGAGTGCCGGTCTTCACTGGCAACATCACTGTGGCTTCGGCAGTAAAAGTAAGTGCCTCTCATTGGCAACCTCATTCTACAGAAAGATGATGACATGAGAACCAGAGGTAAAACCCAGGGTACTCTTCTAGGAGAATCAACAGATTTTTCCCGAGATATTTCTTTTCCTTTCTTAGCTGGTTCCCCGGTGTGAGCAGCTGTGTGTGTCCGTGCTCAGTGCTGCCACACTTGCAAGATATCAATGCAATCACAGCCAGGCATGACCAGCAACCCGGCCACCCATTGGCTCGGGACCTTGGAAGTTGATTCGTTTCTCCTAATTTCCTTGCCTGGTTGTCATATCTGAGAGGTGGTGTCAGAAGGAAAAGGGAGCTCCATGCGTCAAGAAAAATCCCCAGGATTGGTGAGAGCTGGGGAGTGGGAATGGGAGAGACAGAAGCGATAAGAGAATGGCTGTTGGTGTCCGAGGGCTCCCTCTGGTGGGCGCTGGGGCTGTGCCCCATGGGGTGCTGAGCATGGCCTCTCACAGAGAACAGAGCAGGTGTGTAGGATGGGGAGAAGTGGGGAGCACCTGTGCCCCACAGAACCCAAGAGGGAAAGGCAGCCGCATCCAGGACATCAGCGACAGAGACAGCTGCCCCAAGAGAAGCAGCTAATAATTCCTGTGCCCTTAGTGGGGTCTGGAGAGAGCCCTCAGCCTGGGGCCACCTAGAAGGGGACAAGGCCCCTTCAGAGGCCATCTGGCAGGACCGATGCCATTCAGGACCAGACGAGCCAGCCCACACCTTGATCCATGGAACTAAACTCTCAATTCTCAGTGCAGAAAGTCAGACATTGTCCAAAATCACTAAGTCCACAAAGAACGGTATAAGCACATTTGGGTTTTTATATGTGCATTTTTTATTGGGATATAATTCATATACCAGAAAATTCACCCTTGTAAAGTGTACAACTCACTGCTTTTTAGTATTTCACAGAATTGTGCTGTCATTACCACTCTCTAATTCCAGAACATTTTCTCACCTGCAGAAGAAACCCTGTGCCCATCAGCAGTCACTCCCCGTCGTCCCCCCCGCCAGCCCCTGACAACCACCAACCTACCCCGTCTCCCCGGATTGTCTTATTCTGGACATGTCATGTAGACGGAATCACACATGTGGTCTTGGTGTCTGGCTCTTCTCACTCAGCTTAAAGCACATTTCAATTTCAAAAGCAGCACACAGCTAAGGAAGAAAGGGCCCACAGCCCAGAAGGACGGAGAAGCCCCACACACAGCATTGTGGCCAACCAAGGTTCGCTGGCTTGGACCTCCCAAGGGCTCTGTGAGCCTGCTTCTTGCTTTTGCAGTCATTGAACACTCGCTGACACTGCTAGTGCCATTGTCCCCATTTTGCCATTGGGAACTTTGAGGCTCAGAGGGTCTGTGCATCCAGTTCCCAAAGACTGGACATTGGAGAGGAGAATTTCCAGCCTCTGCAGCCCAAGACCCTGAAGGGCCTCGGAGGGAGCAAGGGAGGAGTTTCCATGACAACCCTGGAGATATGCGACCCGCCACCCAGACATCCCTCCAGGCGAACCTGAGGCAACACAGCCCACTGACAATGCCAGCTGCTGGCCCTCAGGATCCACCGTGGCACCACGCCAGGCCATTCCTGCTCAAAACAGGATTCCTCGAAGTGGCACTTTGGTTTGGGGACTGTCCTTCGGCCCTTTGGAGACCTCTGCTGAACTTGGCCATGGTCTGAGGCTCTCCCCACCCACTCTTTCCTTCCTCCTCTCCATTCAGAAATGTCAGACCCTCAGCCAGGTCTGAGACTTCTCGTTATGCCTGCCCTCGCTTCTCCCTCTCACGTCTCCCCAGCGACTCTGTTGATTTGACCCTGTATTCGTGTCTCAGTTTGAAGCAAAGACCCTCCTCTCTATGCCATTGAAAGTTTAAGAATTCTTGAACAGAGTGATGAATTCCAGAAAACATCCAACATGTTGTGGAATAATACACAGCTACCCAGCTGACGAGGAAGGAACCATCGCCAAAAAAGAAACGCCAAAGCGATGCTTTTAATGATCAACCATACTTAGACTCGAGGGGCAAAGGCGTGTAAACAGCACAGGAAAGAATCATCAGGCTTAACGGCCACAGAGCTTTGGGACAGGGGAAGTCCAGTGTCTCTCTCCCCTTCCACCAGCAGCAAGGGGGTCTGACTTCTCCTGGGCAAGTCAAAGTTCTCATTCCATGGGTTCTGGAAGGTTCTACAAATGTGTACCATTTCCGAGTCAGTGAGGAAGGTATTTGATATGAAAATAATCCCTGGGTCCTACGGAATCCAATTCATTTTCCTAATTTACCTCATGCCACTGGTAGATGAAAATTTTAGAGGTGATTGCCCAGGAGGTAGGGGGGTTTAATGGACGGTGTCAAGGCCATTTGGGCCACGGACAGTCAGCATCAACTGAGTACCCAGGAGGCCTGAAGTCCACCGAGGATATGACCAGCAGCCCAGGAAAAGGGTCCAACACATCCCAGATTCGAACCTGAGCAAGGCTGTGTCCTTGAGCAAATTTCTCTCAAGTTCCTCATTGGTAGAGTAAGAATTAATACAAAATCATCCAGTGCATTTTGGGTAAAAGAAAAAAACATTTCTGGTCCACACGGTAGCACTTCCTAACCCCAAATGTTAAAATTGGTTAGCGCTCTCTGGGTACTTAATAGACATCAACCATCCAGAGCCAAGAACCTTGTTTAAAATTCCCGAGGAAGACCACGCACCCCTTGGCCACCCCCAGCAGGTCACATAGAGCTCAAGGGCAGAATCGGGCTTCCTGGGATTTTCTGCTGGCTCCTGGCAAACGTAATTATTCAAGATTCGTTAGCATTTCAGTGTCTCATTGGCAAACCTAGCAAATTATTATGAACCTTTGCACAAGGTGGGGAGCATGTTAACTATTGAATTTCTTTACTCACAATAGATTGCAACTTATAAAATGAATTAGATGAGAATGACCTACGGGAGGTGCTATAATGCAAACACAACCTTCTAGAAGGGCTCCCTGCCGGGGGCTGCCTCCTGCTGTTGGTGTGTTGGCTGTCCTGGCCGAGGATCCTGGACCCAATTACTACACAGCTTGCTCATCTGAAAATGGGGATGGTAACGCCCCCACCTCGTGGGCTTGTTTAAGAGCATTCCATGAGTTAGCAAATCTCAAGGGCTTGATCAGTGTGTGACACATGCCACCTGCTCAGTCAGTATTAGATTGTCTTTACCAACCGCTCTGGGATTCAGCCACAGTGATGCCCGGCAGGCTGCCCCATGAGCTGTCCATTCTTGGGGGAAGGATTAAGGGCAGAAACCCCCCTGCCCCAGACGTGGCGCACTTTTGGGAGCCGAATCCGCCTCCACATTCCTCCCCCTGCCCCGGGTTCCACTCTGAGCTGGGGGGTGGGGGGGCTTCA